ATTCCTGGGGCCAGGAGCTGTCACTCCTGGACCGCTGGGCTGGCCTGTCTCTTCCTGCTTCCGCTCATTCTCCCCCTTTGTTTCCTTCTCACTGCAGACTGAGTCATTTTGGGCAAAAGCAAATCTCCACTAAAAATCCTCCACCGGCTTCCCAACAAACTAGGGGCAAAATACAGATTCCTTCCCAGGCCCCCAGGGTTCTGGTGAGCTCTGCTCCCTACTGCTCTGGGGCCCATTTCCTTCTTCTCTCCAAGCTCTCCAGCCTTTGACCACACTGTCCTTTCTTCTGCTTTATTCACCGACAAATCCACCGTCCCCAAGCTCTGCATGTGCCAGAGCCCTTCTCATAGTCAGACAGTTGACGAATCATCTCTGCAAAGAAAGCTTCCCTGACCACTTGTCTAGACTCTTCGCTTCACCTACCCACTTGGAATCCCTCTTTATGCCCGTACCCACCGTGACTCTTTATTTCATTTCTCTGCTTTATCTTCTCCATGGAGAGAAAATGCGAAATAATATACTTTTGTTTGCCTATCTGTTTACTTATTTTTTTGCCTTCTTCTCCTTCAATGTTCAGGCACTCCCTGACTTCTGATGGGGTTACGTCCTGTCATCATTGTCAAAAAATATCCTACTATGTCAAAAATACATTGAATACACCTCACCTACCAGACGTCACGGCTTAGCCCTGTCTGCCTTAAATGCACTCAGAACACACCCATAGCCTACAGTTGGGCATAATCATCTAGCATGAAGCCTATTGTATAATAAAGTATTAAATATCTCATGCAGTTTATGGACTGCTGTACTGAAAGTGAAAAACAGAATGGTTATATGGGTACTTGGAGCACAGTCCCTACTGGATGGGTTTAGCTTTCACACCATCGCCAAGTTGAAAATCATAGGCCAAGTAGTCATAAATAGCGACTGTCTCTACAGACTACATAAGGGAGAGATTTTATCCATGGTTTTCATGGATCTGTCCCCAGCACTTGGGACAACGATCAATACATGGTTGGTGCTCACCCAATATGTATTGAATGAACATTTCATTCTTATGAAGTAGAGAACATAAAAATTACTGTTACATATTAATTAGGTTTCTTTCTCTAATGAACGTAAGCTTTAGGGGTGAAATTACAGCCAAAATGTAAGAAAATTATATTCATTTGCTGTAAGGTTCATAAATGTAACTTTTCCCCAGCTTTTGGCATTGACTACAAAGGTAATCCTTGAGTTCAAAACTTAAAATGAAAGCAAACAATTTACCCGTAAGTATATAATCAGTTCAAGTATGAAAGTTAATTAGTACTTAAAAGAAAGTAATTAATGGCCACACTCTCTCAACCTCAACAGATAAGAAATCATGTTCCAAACTTTGTTCCCAGGTAATTGTGCTATAAAACACCAGGAAATTTTGGGAAAGTGTGCCAGGGAAAAATAATTACCTGTAGTTACATTAGAATTGCATTAGTTGGATTGAATTTAGCACTAATGCTCCAGAATTAGCAAAAAAAAAAAAAAATCTACAGCACAAAAAGCAAAACACAATATGAGAAGAGACTGAGACGTGTGAAAATCCTCTCCAAGAATAACATTGACTTTGTTTCTTCCTTGGGTGTCCTCCTAAATGGAGGTTGGTTTGCAGTGTGTTTTGCTAAGATATCTGCACCAATGCACACCGCTGCAAACAGCAGACGCACATAGATGTTTCAGCTTCTATTTAGCAACTAGCCCACGGTCTGAAGGGGACGTGTTTTTGGAGAAATGGAAGTGAGGGATTTTATGCTCTCCAGTCAAAACCGATATTGTGTTTTATTTTAGGCTAGTCAAGATTCTATTTCTTGGTTAATTTTTAATGCATTTTTGAGTAGTCATGAAATCATTCCTGACTTCCGTCTACTGACATGAAGTCACTTGCACCAGATGAACCATGGGAAATTTGGCGAATGGCATGCTGGTGGCCATCGTTTTAATCTGCCGACATAAATCAACTCAGGGTGGGTGATGCTCAACTCTGAAATGTCGAATCTGCTGGAAATGAGGAAATCCGCTGGAAATGTAGAACCTGCTGGAAATCTCTTCTCCCGAGGTGGCAGAGGGAGAAGTTGCGAAAAACATGGGTTTTGAAAGGAATAGAACAAGTTTCTATTGATTTAATAAGATGTAAGAGGTGGTAGTGAGATATTTTACAAGATCCCGTGGAACAAGTCCCAAAGATAAGACAGATGTCATTCAATGCAGACTACACACACTCAGAACAAACGTGGTAAAGGTAATGTGGATGGGTGAGTGATTGGATGCTTTAATCTGATGTCCAGGAGAGTCAAATGTACTCTCCTAAACTACTATGAAGTCTGCAAATGCAGAGACTCAAGGGGGCAAAGAACGTTTGAAATATCTATTACAAAATCAGAGCTAAGACTTGGTGACAACACCCCCCAGATATGGATGCTTTTGTAGAGAAAAGGGATCCTAAACATAGGAACAGACATTATTCATCCTGAGAGTTTTTTTCTCTTTCTCTCTGTCTCTTTTTGTTTGTTTGTTTGAGCAACTGCTGAAAATTTCACTCAAAGGAGCTGTGATTTATGCAAGGCAAGTCCCTTCGAATGAGATATTATTACTCTTCATGCGGGACCCGTGATATTAATAAATAAATACCTGTGTGTTTCTCTGCTTCAGGTCTGTTTCTGCTTCAGGACTTTAAACTCCAAGACCTGAGCATGTCTCTGTCCCTGGTGCCAAGCGTTTTGCTGGGCACATTGTAGATGGTCATTACATAGTTATGGAAGAAGTGAATGAGGAGTGGCGTGGCATTAGGTTGACTATTGAACAATGAGTGACCTCTACAGCCAGTGTTATGGGTTTTTAAGGAGGCAGGGAGCAGTGAGTTGGTTAATCATGAAGGTGGTTGGGGTTGGTGGAGACATGGAATGATGGTTGGGAGTTAGAGAGAGAGAGAGCCTGGGCACACTCAGATGAAAATGAGCAAGGCATGTTCAGGTGACATCAGGCAGGATTTGGATGGACCTGGGAGAGAAAGTCTCTCATTAACTTGCACATGAGGGGCAGGAAACCAGAACCCCACAAACACCTTGCCATCATACCCATATCTGCTAATAATAGCCACAAGCTGTCATCACATAAAAAATGCTTTCGTTATGACATTATTAGGATTTGTTTGTTTTGGGCAGTGGTGATGGGTATAGAGAAGTTACGAGAGGTGCACATTAAGAAACGATTGTTTGCCATTTGCTCATTTTTGGATCCAGGTCAACATATTGAGGAAAAACTAAGTTAAAGCAGCAGTTTATAATATTATAGAATTAAAATGACTCTTTCTTAGAGTAAAGTTACCTAATAATTATGGTTTAATGGGAAGAACTATCAAACCTATGAGGTGTGTGCAAGTTTGGAATGCCATCCTGAGAGATAGTGCAATTAAGGTGCAGGAAGTATCAATTTCTATGAAAATGAAAAACATTAAGAAAGGAAATATCATTTGAAGAGGAATGTTCAAATATCGAAATGGGAAATCTCTTGGAAATGAATCCCTAGGTAGTAACGAAATTAGCCAATGAATTTTCTTACCCATATGTAAAGCATTTGGAGAGTAGAGGAATCTTAAAAGAAAACAACAAAATAAAATCACAGGTAATGCAATGTCCTTTGATTCAGTAATTTAAGTATAGAAAGGACCACTTCTAAAGCTAGCCAATAGAGACCATATGGCGACAAACACGTTTGAGTTATCACTGGTTGGATCAAATCCAACCAGAAATAATGAAATTACTCATTGGTGTATTCAAATTTAATGGAAGAAAGAATGGCAATCGATGTGATCACATGCATCTCTGAGAGGGGAATTAAATTTAGTTATTTATGGCAATCATGCAAAATACAAAGTCATAAAGAGACTCAGGGTCCAGGGTAACGTTGGTTGAAGATGCTGCAATTCCATTGCTCAGGGTCATGATGGGGCTTGAGTTTGCCTTTCCTTCTTTCCCTGACTTAGTCTCAGCGTTTCTTGCCATCCTTGCATCTGTACTCCGCTGGAGGCAATCGCTACCTCGCAGTGACCCTTTTAGATGTTTCCGGTATTGCTGAAAATGAAAGGCATGTCTACACAGGTTGCACATTGATTTTCACCCGGCAGCTTGCGGAGATTAATCACTGACCTGACAGAAACACTGTTCTGAGGAGTCAGGGCAACTAGGACAATGCACGGGTAGAAAACACATGAAGTAGGACTTTGGCAGCCTGTCAGCAAGCATGTCTGTCTTAGTGTTGACTTGGAAATAGCATCCCCGAGTAAAAGTCAGACCAAAGGAGAGGCTGTACCTATTGTATGCTGAATGAGACAGAATTTGCAAGACTGCTCAGATGAATCAGTAATTCCTTCACTTTCGGTAAAGAGTGTTAGTGGTACTAACGCCCCAGAACTGTTTTCCCTTCCTTCGAATCTCCACCCCTGCAAACCTAGTAAAGCAGTCTCCTGAAACATTCCAGGAGTGGGATTAATTCCAGAGGACTGATAGCCCTGACCTCCTAGAAATATGTCATTGAGAATGAAGATGTGTCCAGTAAGGACTGTCTGTATGTCTAGCCCAATGCTGATAACCAAGCAGCATAAAACGCAAACGCAGGCACCCCTCTTCCAAATATAACGAATAGGTCAGAAGCCACAATAAGAATTGAATGAAGTGCACATCACTCAGTGATCAGAAGATGATTATGTGAACGCATTCGTAGAAATTCTGCTGGCACACACGTCGGTTGCCTGAAAAACAGAGACAATTCACATGATGGTTAATTCTACGTGTCAGTTTGACTGGTGAGGAATCCCAGACAGCTGGTAAAACACTACTTTCGTGTGTGTCTGTGCGGGTGTTTCTGGAAGAGATTAGCATTTCAATCAGCAAACGAATTAAGGAAATCCACCCTCACCAATATCATCCAATCCATGGAGGGCCCCAATTAAAAAAAAAAAAAAAAAGGCAGGGCGGCTGGCGGGGCTGTTGCTGCGGCGCCCGAGTGCCGGCTTCTGCCCTATGCGCTGCACAAATGGAGCTCCTTCTCCTCCACCTACCTTCCCGAAAACATTTTAGTGGATAAACCAAATGACCAGTCTTCAAGATGGTCTTCAGAGAGCAACTATCCTCCCCAGTACTTGATTCTGAAGCTCGAAAGGCCTGCTATAGTTCAGAATATCACATTTGGAAAATATGAGAAAACTCATGTCTGCAATTTGAAGAAATTTAAAGTCTTTGGTGGAATGAATGAAGAAAATATGACAGAGCTATTGTCTAGTGGCTTAAAGAATGATTATAACAAAGAAACGTTCACCTTGAAGCACAAAATTGATGAACAGATGTTCCCTTGTCGATTCATTAAAATAGTTCCACTCTTGTCCTGGGGGCCCAGCTTTAACTTTAGCATCTGGTATGTTGAACTTAGTGGCATTGATGATCCTGATGTAGTACAACCCTGTCTCAACTGGTATAGTAAGTACCGTGAACAGGAAGCCATTCGCCTTTGCCTAAAACACTTCAGACAACATAACTATACAGAGGCTTTTGAATCACTGCAAAAGAAAACCAAGATTGCATTGGAACATCCCATGTTAACAGATCTTCATGACAAACTGGTGTTGAAGGGTGATTTTGATGCTTGCGAAGAGTTGATTGAAAAAGCTGTAAATGATGGCTTGTTCAATCAGTATATCAGTCAACAGGAATATAAACCACGATGGAGTCAAATCATTCCCAAAAGCACCAAAGATGATGGAGAAGATAACCGGCCAGGAATGAGAGGAGGCCATCAGATGGTTATTGATGTTCAAACAGAGACTGTTTATTTGTTTGGTGGCTGGGATGGAACACAAGATCTTGCTGACTTCTGGGCATACAGTGTGAAGGACAACCAGTGGACATGTATCTCTAGAGACACTGAGAAAGAGAATGGTCCTAGTGCCAGATCATGTCATAAAATGTGCATTGACATTCAGCGGAGGCAAATCTACACATTGGGGCGTTATTTGGATTCCTCTGTGAGGAACAGCAAATCTCTGAAAAGTGATTTCTATCG